ATGATTTGTTTCACTTTTATTAAAGAATATCAAAAGTGTTGATAAGATGACAAAATAAATTATATTTTACAGTATATAAGTATATATTATAATATACATTTTATTTTCCTATGCAAAAAAAATTTAAGATAAATATTCCAGTGTGCTACAAGGAATTGTGTGTATGTGTGTTCTCTTTCCTAGTCTTTTCTTTTTTGCTTTTATTTGTGCCTCTCTCGAAGTTGGTTCAGTTTCATGAAAGCATTTAAGTTGAGTAAGTACTGGATAATGTGAGAAAATGAAATCAGGACCTTGATTGAAAAAAAAAAGACGTAAGACTGCTGTTACTGCAGCTCAAAAGCAGAACACATTTTTTCCTAAAGAATCTCGTAAACACCTAATATGGTCTGTGTTGCCATCACGGAAGTGTATGTTTGAGGAAAAATATTAATGTGAATTGTATAACCCTAAAATGACTTAAGATGTGAAATGTAGAAAGAGTATTGGTGGTTCAAGCTCATACAGTGGAAAATGGAAGGAAGCCAAAACACTGGCACTAACACTCCGCTCTTGTTAAGAAAATGCCAAGGGATCTTTTCACAAGAGTGACTCGCAGATTGCAACACAGTTACCTTAGCTGGCTCCTGATGTGCAGTATCACACCACATTTAAATTTCCATCTGTGGTGTCTGGAACTATTGTTCTTACTGTGAACTTTTTTTCCCCCCAAAGTAAATCTACAGCATCTGAAAGACCACAGGACACACTTCTTTTAATGGGACAACCAACTAGACATAAAGAAATTATAAATAAATTTGGTAAACCTTTCTAGCAATCATGAAATCATTTCATGTTTCAAAATTAGTAAATTGGCATTAAAATTACATATAGAAAATGCTAAATTTTGATATATCTGGATTCATTCATTTTTCTTGAAATGTCTTCAGTGCTCTATTGTTACATTGTGCTTCTCTGAATAAGAAAATTGAGGATACTGTGTTCCTTGTTCTTTCTCTCTGAAACTTAGTCGTCAAAACTCTTAGAGTGAGCCCCAAGTAATTGGTGTTATTAAATAGCTGAATTGGTAAAGGTAACTACTTAACAACTTTATGTTAATACAACCTTATTTGTCTCAGCAATGTTACCATGTGTATTAGTTGAGTTGTGATGCTGAAATTTCACGTGCACAATCCTATAGGCAGCATCTGGTTTATAGACGTAATGAATTGAAATGAACATTAAACTAAAGCTCATGAGGTAGTTATGTGACTAATATTTTTGCTTTAAGAAGAGGCTATGACTTTATGATCTTTAGGTTTTCCCCTTTTACTTCTTTTTATACAAGGGAGAACATACTTGTGTGTATTCAACTTTCAAAAAACTTGGAAGAGAAAGTGAAATTAAATGTTTTAAGACCTTTGAAAGGAAAGTTTATATAAATAAAGTGTTCATATATTTTTTAAACAGAGGTATATATATTTGTTGATCTCTTATTCTATGCCTTATGAATTAACCTAATAAACATTTTTAATATATATTTATTCATATGTATGTTTCAGCTCTTCTTCACTATTCAATATATTTACAATATACAGTTTTCATCTCTTCATTTTCTACATGTTAAAATGTATAAAGCATGTAGAACAGTATCTAACATAGTCATACACATAATATTAATTAAATAATATTATAATGTTGCTGTTGAAATGGCTTTGTATTCAGTATTTGAATATCAACATTATTTTTGATCTAAGTCAATATTTATGGAGAGTTGCTGGTTTTAGAGGTTGCATGATCTGAAAGGACCTTCAAAAGATCAGCTCAAGAACAACATTAAAGCAAATTTGCTCTGCAATCCTGTTGCTAAGCAACTAAATTTATTTATCCTCTGCTGTTTGGGTCAGGACTAGGGGTAATGAGCTGATGTTGCATGTCAGAGAAAGAAGTTAGTGGCTGACCATGACTTTTAAACTTCTTGGCTTTGCATTGTTTTCCCACTTAGTGACCTCCTGGGTAATTTTGAACACATTATTTCACTTCTTTAAGGTTGTTTCTTTTAGATCATTAAATTAAGAATTATATACAGGATCCTTTAGCAAAGTGTTTACTTTCTGATATAAAGATATTCCAAATAATATGACAAACCAATTGGACTTCAAGACCAATATTTCAAATATTTTTAAGTATATTAAATATCATAAATATCATCATAAAAATACCATGTCTCCTTTGCCAAAGTGAAACATTTTTTTTTGCTGATTTGTTTTCTAGCTCCTTCAAGAAACAAATGGCAGAAGTGATTGACAAGGCACTATATACATTTCCAAAGCCAATTTTTATGACATAATATAGTGCTACAAATAAAAATGTCTATAAGGATGCATAAGTTATTTCTGTAGGAATAGAAGGGATGAGTTACATGCCATTCCATTTTGATGAACTTGAATCCAGTTTCTAATCAACAAGATTGCCCTATACAATAAACGACTGATTGTGACTGCTGGCGTTAACAGTAATAGGACAAGATGTGTGGCACAATTTTCTCCATTCAGCTATTCATTTTCCTACTGCTTTGAAGGAGTCTTTATATCCTTATGATCCTTCTCAAAGTTATCCTGATCAGTTGTGCTAAATGTGCCCAGTAGTGCTGATGAAAACACAGACAACTCTTGTTGATTGCTCAGTAGTGTCAGTTTGGCCTCAGTTCTTCATTTTGTCAGAGTTCTCAAAATATTAATAGTTTCATGGCGTTTTTGCACCCTTTTACCATAATGCTCTCTACCCAAAGTCCACTTAGTTTTATGCACGCTGCTAAATAAAAGAAATAAATGTACAGAAGCTGATATCCTCACCCTGTATTATCTCTATTTAGTCTCTCTGAACTGTACAAATTCATTTTTCTCTGCCAGTGCTAACTAGATACCATATGATGTGCTGTATTCATTTGGAACAAAAACCTTTATAAGAACAGTAATAGGATAGAAAACATCAACAAAACCTCTAGTTTTATCAGTCCTCATAGTCTCTAGCTCTGACATTTGTACTTGAAATTTGGATAGAATCTATGAAGCTGCAGTGAGAATTATTTATCAACTCCAAAAGGCTTTCGTTTGAGAAATCCAAGTTCCCATTTTCATAGCTAGTTTATAACTCAACATAAATGTCAAGGTTTAAAGAATATTCAAACACAGCATGGATATTTATTTGAAAAAAATCACTTGATAAATTTCAGAATGCACTGTTTTGTTTATTTTTAAAGAACCTGTCAAACTATATTGTTGGATTAACTAAATAATAAATAGTTTCCCTGGGGTAGATTGCTATGTTTGCCACAGTTAGAATGTGCCTTTCTTCCCACTTTCATTTGGTATGTATGGTAGGAAATATATGTGTGGCTGCTATTTGTTCAGAATTACTCTTACTGATGTGCCACTGAGGAAACAGTAAGAAAGGATGCCTTTATAATGAATGCCCTCATACTCATTTATTATCCACTATCCATTCTTGACAGCTTAGCTGTGCCTCAATGAAACTTTCCCATGAGTTCAAACATGCTGTCTTCCATAGTACAAACTAGAGTGTTGGCCAGATGCGACCTGTATTTCTAATCACTGATGGGACATTGTACAGATGTAGTTAAAAATTATTAACCATTTGATGTGGGTTTAAAAAAATCACTTTTCCCTCAAAAGTTTTGTTAAAAATAATAATTGAAGTAGATTTTCCTTTCTCATTATTTTCTCTATTCTTAGAGTAGTATTAATAATTTAAAAATCATTGGGCTCTTGATCTATGTAAACTCTGTGCTGGCAACTTGATATGTTTAATTTCATTTTATCCTCAAAACAAAATAGAGGAGATGCTATGTTATGCCCATGTTACTGGTAAGAAATGTAAGGCGCAGAGAACTTAAGTAACTCAGGTCACACAGCCAGTGATGGGAGAGCTGGGATTTTCAGTCCAGGCTGCTTCATTCCGTATCTCGTCCTACTGACAGCAGCGCTACACAGCATTAGACCGGCACAAGGAACCATCAGCCCTAGGCGGAATGATCTGTTTAGAAGTTTTTCTTTTAGATATTCTTCATACTTTGATGCTGATTATAGCCTGTACTAATACCAAATTTTCCAAAATAATATAACTTTTGATTTTTAATAGGAATTAGAGAGCAAAACTACTAAGCTATATAAGACCTAGATTACTGACTCGGAAAGGCTTTTGCCATCATTCATTCCTGTCCTCATAGTCTATGAACTGGATTCTGAGGTCTGTGAAGTAAAGTTTTTTTTCTTAACTCATATACCTAGTTAGAATCAGAGCCAGGTTGAGGACTTAGGTCTCCTGGCTTCCAGGGTGCTGATTAATTGTGTTTATTCCAGAGACAATTTCTGGGACAAATTCACTGTTCTTCTCTGTTGGGGGGCGTATTTTCACATGAGCACGTTGTTTTCTGCTGATGTTCACCACACTTACATGTGAAAATGTGCACGTGCACACATATACAGGTCGTTAATTAAATTCCAACTACTTCTGAAAATGTTCTGAGGCAGTTAGATCACAGTTGTGGATATGTGAGGACAGATTTGTGGGTAGCAGAAAGTCTAAACTTGCTGACAAATGGAAGATGATATTGATGAGCAATGATATTTTTATTCGGTGGAGATACTAGATATTCCCTGATGCTATGGGAAAATACCGGTGAGAGAATTTTGATGAGGCATTTAGAACATATTATCTGGGAAAATGTATATGAATTTGATATATTTCATGTCCTGTGGGCAGAATTTTTAACACTCTCAAATGCTTCCCATTTTTATGTACCAGGCCAGATCAACTTTCAACAGTTTAGGCCCAGATATGATTAAGGAAAAAAAGTTTCCTGAGATGTTCAGGAGTGTAGAAAGGAGCTACGGATATTTTCAACAAAAGAGTTCGATTTCTTTGAGCTCTGTATCAGAGAAGAGAGTAATGTCAAATATCTTCACAGGGTTTTCTAACAATCTTGTATGGCAGAGAATTGTAGAATACTTTTAATTGCTCTATCTCTTTTTTTTTTCTTCACATGGAATCAGCCTATATAACATCAAAAATCTTCTAATCTAGACTTTTATAAATTAATTTTTTTCTCCTTAGGAGATAGGGGGAGTCACATTTTATTTGTCAATTATTTTGAGGATTTCTGAGAAAATTTTGTGTTTCTGTTAGTACATTTTAGCTGTCTTCAGGTAACTGAATGCCACCTTGACTGTAGCAAGTTATGTTGTTTTCCTAAAGAGCAGGCATCATGGGTTTTCTCAGAGAATGTTCACCTCTTGGAATACTTTTCTTTTATTTCATAGTTTAAGTGGTCAGCATCCTTCTTGCGTCATAGAACATTTGTCCCACACCAAATTCTCACTAAACACTTGTGAAATGAATAAGCTTTGTTGAATTCTTTTCATCAAGCCAACTGATTGCTTCCTTTTGACTGAAAATCAGCAGTTACTGTGAACACACCAATGAGTTATATCTCCACTGTGCAGTCCGTCCTTGTATGTATTGCCCTGTGGATACTAGGGGGAAATGACCTTCATTGTAATACTTATGCTAATGTTCTTGACTGTTATCATCATTATCATCAGAGGAGTCACAGCAGCATTATTTAGAGACGTACACTAGAGGGTGGTGTTTTACCTGGACAGTAAACTTATCAATGCATTGGCTTTGAGGAAGAATGAGAAATGTCTCCAGGAAATGTTCCTCGTGTTTAATGTTACATAATTCTCAGCACATATGCCCCATTAACAAAGTTGATAAACCCCAGGGAATGGAAGCAGAGACTGAGTCACTTGGCGGCCTTGCTATCCCATTTCTTCAACACATTCCTGTAGGTGTCTGGTTTTCCTGAGCTCCACATGCAGAGTGTCACTTGAAAACCAACACTGATCACTGGGTGAGAATATATTTGACTCTAACTACAGGGAATTGGAAAGCAAGTGAGGCAAATAGTGAACGTGGGTAAAGCTGTTCCACTCACTACTTCAATTTTTAACCCTCCTGAATCACTTATGTGTATGTCCACGGCTGACCTGAGAAGAACAACAGAAACCATCAGTAGTGGAGGAGAAAGTTATTTCTGGAGAGTGCATGTTTCTTTGCCTCCTCCCCTCTAGTTTTCACTTAGTTCCAAAAAAAAAAAAAAAAAAAAAAGAAGGAAAATTTCTAATCTAGTGCAGCACATCTTTCATAATATGTTGCATGGTATGATCAAAATGTTGCTGTAAGCTTTCCCCCTCAGTAGACATATTAGTGTTAGTGATAGGTTAATTCATTTTGCTTCCAGCTCTTGCTTTCATCTTTTTCTCTCAGTTGACTTTTCTGATATTGGTACAATCTTTGCTCACATCATGAACTTTACTGTGGTTTCTCATGACAAATGTCCAAATTTTCATAGCCTTTTACCTGGACATGTTAATACATGAAGGAGGCAAAAATCTCAAATTTATTGCTCTCACATTTCCCTTCAAAAGAAATTTGTTCTTCCCACTCTGACCAGTGGAAATTTCTTTATAACACAAACAAGTTTTCATCTGATGTTGCAAGTTTTCAGACTTAAATTCTTTATTATTCTTGACCACTATCTGATTCAGAAAGACTGTTGGAATTCAGATCTCCTGGAGTAAATTTTAAAAGCACAATTTCATATGATCAAATTAAAGTTGAATTGACTGGTTCCTATTAAAATTAAACCCTGTCCAACTCTGCCAAACTCTCTTTTGAAGCTAGGTACACACTTTCCTTCAAATGTTCCTTAGCATTTGGCTCTGCTGTTTCCATGCTCCCCTTTCGTCAGTGATACGATAACATTGCAATAATACTTAAATGCTGACACAACAGAAAACCTTGCCAGTTTGGCTCTCAACCTTGGCAAGCTTTTTGTTATAGTTGCAACCGGCTTACTCCTTGAGTCGCACAAAACTTCCAGAGCTCCTCCACAGCATGTCTTATAAAGAGGGCTAAAAGGAAAAGTATGAGAGATGTTAATTTTAGACAGAGAATAGTAAATAGGACAATAAATAAAAGCTCTGTTTTGGCGCATTGGAACTTTCTTTTTTCCCCTTTGAAATGTGTGATTCCTTTTCCCAAATGTTGCACTAAATTTATTTTTAAAGGTGTCATCTATTTCCATTCCAGTGCTATGTCATCTAATATTTAAATTTATGAGATAAATCTTGAGGTTCACCAGTGGAGCAGCTGGAGAATTCGAGCCACTTTGCCATTGAAAATGCAGATTTGCTGAAGGTTTTTGTGTCTGACAAGCCCCGTTGAAAGCACCTCATTCCCTTTCCTGACAAGTATCCATCAACATGTAATATTTATTCTTCTGTTTGAGTTTCCCTACAAATAATTGGCGGTCCCTCAGCAAGAAGACATTTTTCTGCTGAGGCAGCACCACCTGTATAGCTTCACCAGGCCAAGAACAAATGCTCTGAAAAGAAAGCTTTCCTAGAACTGATGGATAGAATGAATGAGGGATATTTACTAAAAGGAGGTAAAACTGAATCTGCTCCTTTAGATGCACTGTCATTTTTAGTTCTCCAGTCTTCTTTCTGTCATCATTGGAATAGCAATAGAATGTTCATTCATTGATTTTATGGCTGATAAGAAAAATACTCTTGTTGACTTGTCTTCTACTCCCCTTTTTTTTCTTTATCTCTAGATATAGGTATCTATATTTTTGAGATTTTTAACCTCATCATTATTATCTTCTCTGGACTCCATCTGTGGGCTTGTATCAATTGCCATTTTTAGCATCCAGCAATCATGAAAACTTTACACCCAGCAATAGTTATTATAATAGCAAGTTAGATCGACCATGGCCTTCTTATTGTTGTGACCTCCAGTTTTCATGCAGCCCCCAGACCTAGATCCCCTTTGTTAGGAAAGGAGGTGTTCTTAAAGAATTATGCTTCTATGAAGTGTGCATGGTTTGCATTCATAAAGAGAAAAGTGTGACAGGTAAATGAAAAAATAAACAAGTTGATACACTGATTTTTTTTAAATAAAGGGCAAACTAGAGATTTATCTTAATTTCTATTGCAGGAGTTTTCAAACTTTGAGCATCAAAATTGGTAACTATGGGCTACACATTGTGCTTCATTACCAAAAGTAAGCAGTAGTTGTTTTCTCTTAGTTTTAAGGAAAGTAATCAAACTGCTATCTATCATTTCTCCCATTTTTAGTGTTAATCTCATGGTTGTTTTTCAGTATTTGATATTTACTCATATTCTAGTGAGCCAAATGAATGAACAAGTAAAGGAGGGATATTAAAGTACAAACACACCAATGCCTGCATAAATACCAGCTTTTGGTGGATGTACACCAGTCTTCTTGTTACTTTGCATTCTGTGCATTTAATTTAAATTTAACATTAAGTAAAATCTCCTATGTTACACACCAACATTTATGCTGGATTACTCTGAGATGGAAGTGATTAATAGCAGACTTTCACAAAGTTACCCCATAATTTCTGAGGATTGTACTATCAAAGGAAGTCTGCGAACTACCATCTGATGTGCTTCACTCATTATTTTAAAAATAGTTTTTCAACCTAAGGAAAATAACCTGATTAGATGGAATAGATATAGTGAAAATCCAAGAGACTATGCATTTTAGTTCATCATTTTATTGACAATTACTTTTTAAAAAATGTATCCACATAATGTGTTTGCAATAAATATTTCCTGATTATCTTAGTGGTCATGTGACAAATTGGTACTCAAACTAAGATTAGAGTCCTAAGTTTTTAAAAGATTTATTTTAAATAAAGTAGTTCAGGGTAAGTTAAAAATACCTGGTATAACACCTTCCCTCACAAAAATTACAATCTATATAGAAGACATATAGCCTGTAAATAATTTACAGGTCAGTTCAGGTATTGTAAAACTCACATGGCTCAGGAAAGGAAAAAAAGGCCAGTTTGGGATTATATTAAAGAGGCTACTGAATCAGCACAGTGCCATCACTGATGAATTCTTTCCCTGGATTAGTCTTGGAATCAGAAACCCCGAGTTTCCTATTTGTTCACATTCTAGCTGAGTTCCCTTGCTTAATTTGCTAACCTTTTTCCCGAACTTTCATTCCTTTCTCCATCAGAGATGACTAATACTGCTTACCTCTAATTATTTTCTAAGAACTAAGTGGTTGATCAGCTTCTTGATAAACTGTAAATTGTGATAAGCATAAAGATATCTTCATGATCATCTGTGCCAGGCAAAACAAAACAAAACAAAACAAAACAAAACAAAACAAAACACCTAGTTGAGGATCAAGCTATCATAATGATAAAATAATTGCACTGATATTTATTGAGTTTTTTTTTTCATATGTGTGGGGGGGTGGGGAGGGGCAGAAATAGTTCTCAGTTCAATGTGTTTTTGCTCATTTAATTTATATAACACCCTTCACTCATGGGTAAACATGACCTAAAAAGATAGCAATACAAAGATGTATAACAGTATAAAAAATAGGTACCACATGCCATTTATTAACGCCAAATTGAATTGTTATTTATCAATGCCAAATTCTGAGCGCTAAACTCAGTATTCAGAACATAAAACTTGTGAATTCTGAGTAAGAAAAGAATGAACTGTGAAGGTTGAGAATGACTTCATGGGAGGGCTTGGATATAATCTGAACTTTCAAAAATGGGAAGGATAATTGAGAGGAAGGAAGAGAGTATTCTAATCCTAGGGAACAGAAGAGCATGGTATGCAGCAAATGAAATATCCTTCATGACCCAAGAAATATACATGTGCCCCAGATGTGATGTGTGTTAAAAATGACTTTCAATTTATTTATCTACAATCAGGGCGTGGAGTTGCTCATTTGCCTCTAGGCAGCATCGCTGACTATTGTTACATGTTTGGCAACCCTACATCTTAATGCTCTCTCCATTGCCCTTTAAGACATTTGAATTTTCAGCCCCTTGCATGAAACAAGAACGGGTTTAAAATGGACAAGAGGAAAGGGGAAGATCAAAAGCAATCACCTCCCAAGGGTTACAAATAAAGGGCTGGTGGAATGAGATGCAAAGAATGCTTTAATAGATATTATAATAAAAAGCAAAAGTATCTTAAAATATGAAATCATGAGGTCATGAAGACTTTTTGATCCTTTTGAGGGGACTTGAAGTAGCTTTAGGGTCTTTAAGTTATTTGTGGTTGGTGGAATTATCCCCAGTTGATAAGTGAGCAAACTGAGTCAAGAAGGTTGTAACTTGCCCAGAGTCATGTTGCTAATAAGTGGTGGCTTAAGGATTTACATACTACCTGTTTATGTGTCATGTGTCGGGTTACTGATAGGCACTACCATATATTTTCTCCTTAAATCCTCATAATAAGTTTATGTGTGTGGTATTAATACTCCCACTTTTGCAAAGGTTTTTTTACTACACATTTCAAATTGAGACTGGGGCCTCGATAGCGTGGTACATTCCAATAATCCCAAATTTTAGACCCTCAGGACAGACACTTTTGCTCTCCCATATCAGCAGCATCAAAATCTCAAATCTAAGAAACTCAATGGCACAAGAGGCTCACCATCCCTATATTTTGATGTGGTTTTTTTAATATCTAGCTAAGGCCATAGGTCACTCAGCCCCCTACTTGTGGTGGAAAACCTCATGTACAGTAGGTACCAAGAGAAAACTTCAGAGTTGTCTTAACTCTACATTTTAAAAATTAATTTAAAGAATATCTTTGAAAGATATGGATAGTCACATTGCCTGCTTTAAGTAAGAAAAGTAGACCAAGACTATAATTCCACACCTGCTCTGGCCAGCCGTGGCCTCTTGCGGCTTAGAGAAATGACTCAACTTTTCTTAAGCCTATTTTGAATCCCTGAGACAGAAACCTTCTGAATGAAATAAGTCTTGCAGTTGATATCCTACTTCAAATCTACTTGGTGCCTCAAACAGCAGGGTGTCTAGAAATACTAGTTTCTGCTATGAGAGCAGAAATCTTAAAGAGCCATGCAAATTGGATCCACCCGGTCTTTAACTTGGGCCAATTCTTCCACAGTATGTGCAGACACATTCTGAGTTGACTTGACTGCATAATAGAGATAATTATAAGCACTTACTTATCTCACAGGGGTCTACTGAAGATTAATTAGTTAATGTTGGCAGACCAAAGGTGCAATATATGTGCTAAGTATTATTATTATTACTGTGCCACTTATCTTGAAAGAATGTTGTTTCTGAAGTCATAGTGCCTATGTGCCATCTGCTCACAGCAGCCTTTACCATCTCTCTACTCAGAGACTGAATCCGGTATCTGAATAAATAGATGTGCTCAAAAAAAATCTATCACACCTCCATCTGTGCTTATGGAATATAAATTCAGACATAGGCAGAAATGCAAATCAATCACAAGTGAAGAGGCTTCTCCATTGCCCAGAGTCACATTTTGAGATGTTGCTCTAATATTCTTGCTTTTCATTTTAGAATCCGCTAACTCACGATGCGAGGCTTCTGTGAAATTCTCTCTTCTGCATCTGAAATAGGGTGTCACGTTAGAGGCCTGAACTGCCTTCTCTTTTGTTCCCAGAAAGTTGAAAGAGAAAACTTCCCAGAACACGTTCACTGCTGATCTTTTGCAGAAATTAGCTCCATGATTTTAATACTTTAGATATTAGTATAATTATCAGAAGCTAATGAGTTTTTAAAGGTTCCTATGTGAAATCATGATTTTGAAACTTCTCTCCTGCCAGAATTATAACTAGGTTACAGACAACATGACATGATCTATGACCCATTTTTACTAATGACTAAAGAATGAAGATACCGCTTCTTATGAATAAGCACTCCTTCTCGAACGTGACAGGGAACTGCAACTGTGAAAGCTCTGAAAATCAGAAAGATTAAAACCTCGAACTAAAATTACCCAAATGTTTCACAGATGCCACTATAGTAATATAAATACCATTCTTTGCCTTTGAAAAAGTTATTGGTATCACAATTATCATAGATATTTAATACTCTTCCACAGTAGGTGGCTCAATGGAATAGTTTCATCCCCCCTCACCCTACTAGCTCTTCCTCAAGTCAGCTGCAGAAAGTAAATTTATCTTCTATCTGAAACTCACCTCACTTGATCCATATACCCAGGATAATTCCAGTAATATTTTTTAGGTGGTTTTTTTTTTTGTATCCAGTTTGTTCACAAATTTCTCATCAATTCCAAGAGTATGCTAAAACATCTTTCATGATGGTTATGGAATTAATCAAGTAGGAAATAAACTCTTGTTCATTAAAGCTCCTGTGACCTATTATATGCATAGCCTGATCTCATGGAGGATGCAAGTAACATTTGAATTCAATTCATCTAATCTAAATTATGCATCCACCTTATGAATTGGTTAGGTTTTAGGAATATAAAGAGGAATGAATACCATACCCAGTCTCTACTCAAGAAGATAAATCTGTAACTAACTATATTAAAATGATAAGTTCCAAACCAGGCAATTTGAGCAAATCTTGAGAGAGCTCAGAAGAGGGAATGATTCATTCTCTGGAGAGTCAGGAAAGAAAGTTTCGGAAGCCTTCAGATGAATGATATTTGAATTGGGCTGTGAAGGATGAAAACAGCATCAGTGGGTGGAAAAGAGAGAGAAGGCACGACTCGGCTGTCCTGACTCTATACTTTGAAACAGACTGACACCTCCTTGAACTATGCTGTCCTATCTTGTTAAAAATGAGCCTTGGATACCATACCATTTACATTTAAAAAATTTTCCTTCTTAGACTCTTGTATTTTACTATTTTACTCCCTTTTCAAATCCCAGATCCCTTGACCTAGTTTTCTGTTACTTGCCCCTACACTTGAAAATAGATGTCTTCACCAATTTTGAACTTTCTGTTGGTCATGGCTTTAACTCTTTGCAAAAGCACAATGCCCCAGATATCACCCACCTCATGTCCATGCGAAGTTCACATTGGACATCTAGAGGGTACTTGAATATTTTCAGGCAGAGGAAACTATAGGAAAAAGACATGGACAGCAAAGATCAGGATGTGTGTGGCATAAAGCAAGCCATCTGGTGGGGCCAACCTCTCTGTTCCCTCATGCCTCAGGACATTTGGCAGAATGATGTAACCAGCCCCAAAATAGCAGTGATACTGTGAAATAGCACAGGTAATCCTACCCCAGCAATGCTTTAGCCCATCCCTCAGAAAATACTAATTATAGACAGAGTATGCACACAAATAGGCTTAACTCCCTAAAGAACCATGACATCATTTCTTCTTAGAGAACATGGTCTAATCTGTCACTTCTTGATCTAGATTCTGCACATTTAGGGGTCCAGGTTTCTTAAGCACATCTGGAAAAGTTAAACATTTTATAAACTTTGTGATCATTAATTTGTAATCGTAGAGTGAACACAAAGGTATTCGGTGACTTGAATCTTGGGTATGTTAGAGCTTGGTTGCTCTTGCCAACCCATTTTATTAGTGATGCAGTAATGTCCCATCAGATGGGGAGTCAAGGTTGCAGTTAGATTTGCTGATCTTTAATGGTACTTGCATTATCAGATAGACTAAGAGTCTGAAACCCATATGCCCCCTCAGGAATAAGAATGTGATGGAGTAGGGCGAGCTTAGAAGGCTTGCAGCAAGACAACTTCTGCAGTGTCTTCTTTGTAGACTAAAAAAGGGAGTCTGGACTTAGGGCTGTAAATTTGGCACTGTCCATGAGTTCTAAATTGACTTTAAAATGAATGAGGTAATGGAATACTCAGACAGAAGGCTCATCCATTATAGAAATACACCTTAAATTGGTCCTTCTTTTGGTAAAGGCTAAGGAATACTTCTAGTTAAAACTTGGCAAGTTATTTGCTTACCAGGTCTTGCTGGGATTTGAATTAACTGTCAGAGTGATAAAATTTTCCTAGAAACTAAATGAAAAAGCCAACATAAATGTTACAGAAAGCCTTCAAAAATTTCAGAATTAACTGTTTGATCTAGTTAGCACCTCTAGTTCTGTTGGTATAGTCCATTTAAAACAGCTTTCTATAAGGGAATAAAGAGTGAAATTGAAGCAAATTACACATATGGCATGGGCTATCTATTTATGTAATGGAAGAAGAGACAGAAAACAGAGAAAGAAGGAAATTGGAAGAAAAGAGATAGTGCTAAGAAACAAATAAAATGCTCCTTTAGCAGACCCTAAAGATTCTCAATCAGGTCATTAAGAACAACAACAAATTAAAGAGTGTTTAAAAAACATTCAGAACGCATCTAGTTGAATATAACCCACATGCCTCTTTGAGCTTTTCATGTTGGTCAGGAGTTGCTTAGTGAATTGAGACTCTATTAAGTTGCATGTGGTTTCCATTCTCTTATTTTTATAGCTTTCTGGAATTTACTTTGGATCTTTTGGGACCTGTAACCATTTTCTGGCCTGAAGATGCTGTTGTAAAAAATACCACAAAGATGATCTCTTTTGTATAGCCATCCCATCACACTAAAATCCTGGAATCTTTATTCAACATTGATATGTCATAATTTAATCCTCACAACTAACTTATAAAGTTGTTACTCATATCTCTATTTTGTCACTCATTTGAGGCTTTTAAAGATTGAATAACTTGGCCAAGTAAGTGGTACAGCAGCTTCAGACCCAGAATGTCTGCATATAATTCCTGTACTCTTTCCTCTAGATCACATACATGCTATTAAGTTCTTATAGCTTCATTTATATGTAGGAATCTTTTTGCAGTTGCATTATTAGAATTTAAAAAGATTACATTGATCATTGAACATCTCTTTGCCTTCCCTTGACCCCAAGGATCATGTTTGCCTTGAGGGGACAAATACTAAGGTGAAAAGTTATGACATGAAATTTTGTTATTAAACTTTTAATATTGTAAAATTTATTGGTCACTGTCAAATCATGAAAATTTAAAGACAAAGTAATGCTTACTTTAACTTCCAGGTTTTAATTTTTCTTGTTTTAAATTCAAAATGTATATGTGTGCGTGTGTGTGTGTGCGTATGCAAATATATATGCAAAAAATTCCAAACAGTAAAGAAGTTATAATAGCAACTCTTCCTCCCTTGCTCTGCATCCCCAATTTTCAGGTTAAAATTTTTGTGTATATTTCGAGAAAAATTTTATGTGTACACTGCAGACATAAAATGTTTCTCTCCTTTTTAACATTATATTTTGGTGATATTTGCATTATCAAGTCTGTAGCTTCTCTTGCTATTCACAACTGCAGAGTATTTCATTTATAGGTAGATTGAAATTGATTTAACCCACTTATTACTGCTTGACATTTAGAGATTTTTTTTCAGACTTGTGTTCGTCCTAAATATGCTGCAATAAACATCATTGTTCTTATTTCTTTGTTTATAGATGCATATATACATGCTGGATAAATGCCTTGAAGTGGCTTTAATGTGTCAAAGGCTTGTTTGAGTTTATGATTAGATATGTCTGACTGAATTTTCCTTCTATATATGCCTATTTTCTAGTTCAGTTATAATTCATAAAAATTTACATGCATTTATTGTAAGTATAAATTATCATATTTAATAAACTTTATAAAATATTTTTAAAATTCTTCAAGTTGTGAGGTTTGGGGCATAGGATATTTTAATTTTTATGTAGTCAAATTTATTAATATTTTCTAATGTTTCTGAATGGTTACTCTTATTTAGACAGAGTATTTTCATATCAAAACTGTTTTAATGTAATTTTTAGTACTTTTAAACTTTTACTTATACATTTAAATCTTTGATATATATACAATTTGTTGGGGTCTGCTCTTGAGGCAATAACCAGCTTTTTTTTTTTTATGGCTAGCTTGTTAATTGGGACACCAACATCGTCTATTAAGAAAGCTATTTTTTTTCACTGATTTGAAAAGCCAACTTTATCATACAGCAAATTCTCATATGTATTTCTGTTTATTTCTTGTCTTCTTTTTTCATTTAATTGATCAGTCTACTTATTCAGACACTAGTATCACTTAGTCGTATTGAAATATATTTTACTATCTTACCAAGGTATTCTCCTTTACTACTTTTTATTTTTTCAGAAACACTGCCAATTTTTTCATGTTTATTTTTACATAAGAAATTTAGAATCAGCTAGCTATTTCCAAAAATAATACTTTTGGTATTTTATTTGGATCATGTGAAATCTGTAGATTAATTTAGTTTGAACTTACATTTTTAAAATACTAAGTCTTTCTGTGCAGGAATAAGTTTTGTCTTTTTTTCCTTTTGAAGTTTAGAAATACATATCCTTTAGTAGAGTTAATTTTTTTTCATATTTTGTGACTACATACCTAGATATGTATTCTTATTTTAAAAATGAGATTCTTATTTCTCTATATTTTAAAGCTGGGTATATTTATTTCCAGAAAAGCAGTACATTTTGATAACTATTTATTTGAATTTTCCCCCTCAGTAAATTTTTCTATTGCTTTTAATTTTCATTGTTTTAAGTTTTCCAGTTGTAAAATCATCTTAAAGAAAATGTTGTTTCATCCTTTCCAGTATTTATATCTCTTATATTTAAGATCACTTTAAGTTTCTAAAAAATTTTAAAGTGCATCATCTGCTACTTCTAGGATAATATTAAATGCTTAAATAATAGTGATAATGATAAGCATCCTGTTTTATTGTTGTGAATTTAATGAGGATGCTTCCAATATTTCACTATTCTCATGGATTTTGCTTTCAGACATATCAAACAGACTATAAAGTTGTATAAAATACCAATTATTTTATGGAATTTTATTAAGAATTTTAAAAATCAAGATTAGGTATTTTTGTAAAATAACTTTTTGCTATTACAGAGATAATCATGTGCTTTTATTTTCTTACTGTTTAATATTTTAATATACATTGATAGATTTTATATAAGGTTGTTTTTAATTTATATTCCTTGAATAAACCTTAATCATGTTACGTCCTTCTAATATTCTGAGAATTTCCTCCTTTTGTTTTGTATACAAAAATAGTATGGGGCTATACTTTTTTTCCCTGTTAAAACATTAGTTTTACATTGGCTTCATAAAGGAATTTGGAAGCTGTATGTTTTTGTGCTTTCTAGAATATTTTAAATTGCTTTGTATTTTCTATTCCTTAGGGCATGGCTAGAATTCATCACTAAAACTCTGTATTAGGAAAGGTTTGGCTTATTTAGGAATAGGAATGAATAAGTATTTTTCTTAATTTTTCCCCCAAGAAAATTGGAAAATTTATCATCCTCTAATTTGACTTCTGTTGTCTTTAGGACCAATTTTGCTATTTCTGTTACCGTAATAAAGCATTCATTCTATTCAGACTTGCAAATTTATCTTCAGGTGTGACAAGTATTTTCTAATACTTAGTTTTATTTTCTCTGCATCTGTATTTGCTAACAAATTCTATTTTTCTCCTATTTATTTATTATATGTGCTTTCTCCTTATCTTATTTTTCCAAGATCATTTTATATATACACACATACACGTAAATACATACACACACAGGGACATGCATACATATATTTAGTTTCATATATATATATATATATAGTGGTATATAATGTGTATAATAATAGTATGTATATATAATATGTAGTCACTAACACATTCAGTTTTTCTTTTTTATTATATTTGCTTTTCCTCTAATATTCTTCAATATTAACTACATACATGTATATTTAGTGTATGCATATATTAATAATATATATTCAGTTATATATGATACATATTTATATGCACACACCAATTAGTGAGTTTGCTGTTTTACTTTTTTCATTTTCCAATTTATTAATTTTGCATTTATCACTAGTTATTCCTTCCTCTTGCTTTCCTTAATTTCATGTTGTTGCAACTTTTTAAATTTCCTTAGTAGAATATTTTATTAAATTATTTCATCCTTGGTTGTTGAGAAAGATAATTATTAAAACCTATAAATTTTCATTTGATCATAATCTTAGTTAATTTTCATAGATTCTGATGTATAATAACTTGTTTATGCTATTTTCTTGATATTCTACATTTTTGCTTAATTTTTTTGCATTAGTTGCTGAACATAGAACTGCTAAATCTTTAAGTAATTGGTATATTAG